AATTAACCTTTCTTACTCCATCTGGCAATATCCTATATCTATGTAAGTTATACATACATATATATATATACATATATATACATATGTATCATTCTCTCTACTGTTTGTAGATGTGGGTCCCTAGGCCAGTAAGCATTGGCCTGTATCAGGCCAATTAAGGGAATAAGCAATTGGAGGCTTAAAGAAGGGGGGAGAGCATTGAATTTTGTAAACAAAGTGTGTAAAGGATAGAAGAGGGTGCTTGAGATAATCATAGTAGTCAGAGAGTAGAGGGTGCGAGGAAGGGTATCTGCTGTGGCATTCTGACGGGGCTCAGTTTATGCGCTTTGTAGTTTGCGAATGCGTATTATTGTTGTTTTTATGAATGCTTGGAGCCTTTTGAGCAGAACTCCCAACCGAACCTTTCCTACTTTTTCTTCTACCTGTACTCATTCTATTATACTATGCCTGTCTGTTTGACTACCAGGCATTCTTCATTGTTTGTTTGGTTTTGCATTTTCTCTTCTTTCTGCCTTGTTTGAGGGGCATGAGTGTGCATGAATGCGTGTGTGTAAGGAGAGAAATTTTACATTTGCTTTGGGGATTTATTTATCTCTCTCTCTCTTCCTCTCCCTCTTTCTTTTGGATGTCTTGGTCCTTTCTTTCTTTGGTGAAGGGGGGAGTCATCAGCCTTCAGTTTCTATTCATGCTTACGCCGAGGAATTTTCATATATATCTGTAGTTAAGTACTCCGCGACGTCGCGGCGACCACAGATGCAAGCGCACAGGGAGATGTACTTACATCGTATGAAGTTATGTTTTTGTGCCTATTTTATATGGATTGTCTTTTTTTTTTTCTTCTTTGCTGCACCGCTGGCACAGAACTTGGGACGGCCCGGACATAACCACTGGAAGGTGTGGGGCCAACGAGACAGACGGCAGGAAAAGTGGGAAATAAAAACAACGAAAGCGAAGGGAAGGCGTTTCAAGCAAGGAGTTGTATGCGAAAGTTGCAACGTGTGTGTGATCGTGAGTGCCTCCCGCTCTCGCTACCCCTTTTTCTTGTAGCACTGCGCCGTTGGAGATGCGTCTCCTTCGATCATTTTTTTTTTACTATTATTATGTGTAATTGTCCCTTGTAGTTTTCTGCTTTTATTTTCACTGCGTCCCCGCGCCCGTGATACCCTCCATGTGCGGGGCATTTACGCGAGAAGGTCAGAGGCATTTCCTTTTGGGCCTCTCAGGCGCCTGTTCTGCGGCCAAACCCTCTCACTTCCCCCTTCCTCTTTACCTTCTCACCCTGCACTGGCGCCCCCGCCTCTGTGGCCCTGCAATAAGTGAGCGGCTTCTGCTTCTATTCAGACGACAGCACTTCTGGCGGTGATATAGCAGCCACGTGGGAAACTCCAGGGAGAAGCAGAAATCATAAGTAGCGAAAACAACAGCAGCAACAACAACAAAGAACTTACACAAACAGAGAAAAAAGGAAACAACTGGAGGGAGAGGAATTGCTGGAGCAATGTGCGAGGGGGAACTGCGTCGATGCATGCTGATCGAAAACTTGCGGGAGCACTATAGTCAGGCGGTGGCGACGGAAATCAACAAGTATTTGGGGGATTTTTTGGTGTTTTTAGGCAACTTCGGCACCATTCGTGCCACGTTTGCTGTGAAGGAGAACCGGACTCTCCTGGTGCTCCGGTGTCCGCTTTTCGTCACGCCTTCGCAGGAGGGTGACACCGGGGCCCAACGCAACGATGAGGGGCTATCTCCTTTGTTCGTTGAGGTTTATTTTCCCCCAATTTTTCCATCCGTTCCCCCGTGCTGTATCGTCATGGCAGAAAAATACACGTATAGAGGCGTTGGAAATTGGGTCATAAGTCAGCCGTCGCGAGTTGTGGCCCCCAATGGGTCAGTGCGTTTATCGGAGCTTTCCCTGCTCAGCGGTGCCGCCCCACCCTACTCACTGCTAGAGGTCCTCTTGGCGCTGACGGAACAGTTTGAACTAGAGTTTCCCCTTGTTTCGGCGCACCAGGTGGCGAAGGGCAACGTGAATAATTCCACTCGAGTTCGTCAAGATAGGTTAACGAGCATGTCAATTGACCAGCGAAGTGCTCTCGAACAAAAGGCAGCTGAAACATTAATGCTGCATCTGCTTTCCAAGGCAGAGGGGTATCTGGACACGCGGCAGCAATCCCTCAGGCAGATTGCGCACCTTTATCAATGTGGTGGAGCTATGCGCGAGGCTCGGGGACTGCTTGAGGAGAAAAGGGCGGAACTGCTTCAATATTTACCCGCAGTGGATACAGTGGAAAAGATCATTGAAAAATTTACACAAATTCCAGACGACTTCGAGGCCCATTCCAAGTGTGTTGTGCCTGTGGACGACCTTCAAGCACATGCGCTTGAATTTCTCAGCGAAATACACGCTTTGGATGATGCTTTGGAGCTGCTTGAGAGGTCGTTAAGGGCTGGTCAGCTGTCTTGCGAGGAGTATGTGCGGCGTGTGTCTGACATTGGGCGGGAACAGTTCGAGGCAAGGTTTCTTTTTGCCCGTGTGGCTGAGGCTGTGAATCGTGTTTGTGCCAAGACAGGTCAACCGTTGCCAACTATGCCTCCGCGAACCACCTCAAAGCCGGCTCCTGGCAACGGCCCTATTCAAGTGCCGACGAAGATGAAAAGTGTGGATTTGTTGCTTAGAGAGTTTCCTGAGGTGGACTCGGAGATGGTGAAGACGGTGCTCAACGCTGTGGACGGAAACGTGCCGGATGCCCGCGTTCAGCTGAAGGCAATGCTCTCGTAGTGCCGTGATGCCTCCCTGCCCAACCGTGTTTGTGATCGAGT